AGGGACGGCTAGCGCAGATAGCCCTCGTGTAGCTTTGCGCAAAATCTATAACAAACAAACAGTAAATATAACGCTGCGTGGTAATATCACTTAAAAACGTGCAATTGAATAAGCTGGATAGATTGTAATATTTTTGTAAGATGCTTCGCAATAATCATGCAAACTCGTATTAGTAAGCGTGATGTTAGGTTCGGCTTTCACGGGCGCGGTTTTGGTTCTGTGGTAGAGCTCTGGATCTCAAAACTGAGAAAACGGGTTCGAATTCGTATGATACTACATACTATTCCCCCACACGTTAAGCTATGTGTGAGTTATAAGAGTAACAGTTAATTCTTTAACGTGGGTCTTAGGGTGCTGCTGACTTGCTGCATTCCCTTTGGTTAATAGTTCAAAATTACGGACGGCGAAAGAGAACCTTAATAGCTTTAGCATAAATACAAATACCGTACCTAATCATCTTGCTAGTTTGGGTATCGTTGTCCTAAGAAACGCTTCCAGCAGGTTTCGTTTATTTGATTCCTATGTTTAAACATATCTCCGTTGACAATGAAGCTATGACCTTTTTCCTGAAAAGTGTCGCACAATACTGCGTTTCCTTTCCATAGACAAGGAGAAGCTTTCCTCCAAATACACTTCTTCCACAAAATATTCTTTAAAGTTTTAGGGTTTTATTTTTGGATTATGACTTTGGGAGCGCAAAACTAAGTACCTTAAAAATTACACCAATTTATAAGCATTACATCTTCGGCACTCGAATGGCCCGTGTCACATCAGTCACCAAGTAAAATCCCCCCCCCCCCAAAAGACATTCTTCAGGCTGATTGGTACACCACCTCCGTAAGAACAAAAGGTAATTTCAACGTTAAAAGGGTCAGATTTTGTAATACCCAGAAAGTGTACATAAGCAAAATTAAGGCTAAGTGATCTATTTTCTGTGGTAGATTACACATAAGTGATCTATTTTCTGTGGTAGATTACACATTTATTGGTTGTTGAGAACTTCATGACTTCGTAAAATTATGGAGGTGTATATATATGTAGATTACACATTTATTGGTTGTTGAGAACTTCATGACTTCGTAAAATTATGGAGGTGTATATATGTGTGTGTGTGTAACTTCCATATTGATGCTTTTTTACGTCACAAGTTGTCTTGTTGAGATTTGGTTGTAATGGAAAATGATTGTACTGTTTCAAACTGTCTAATGAGGCCACTGAGGATCGTACTAGCTGACAAATCGGGTCTTCTCCTTAGTGCCGTATCAGCTCAGGTATTGAAGAAAGTTCTACAAGGCATGCTTTGCATTCTGGAATTTATTAAGTTTATGTTCATTTAGAGTTTCACTATAAGAAGTTCATGACTTCATATTTTATACAAACTTTTTGTTATTATTTCTCACGTTTGTAAGATTTGTTCAGAGAGGGAGGTAACAGTATAAATAAATTGCGTTTAGTTTTGTTGTTGTTGTTGTTGCTGTGGTTGTTGCTCCTTTGGCAATTTAAAATGTAAAACTCGTTTTGTTTTAAAATCTATCCATGGTGACATCATGTCCCAGTTATTTTCAACGTTAACGGGTTGCGAGTAACTTTCTTTTAACGTCATAGCAGTTTATTTGTACCAATATTCTCATGACGTCAAAAAAAGACCGTGTTTTGAAACTGAAATGTTTACTGTAAAATGTATGCTTCAGTCATGAACCGAATAAATAGTACGATTCTTGAATTTGTCTGATATCCTAGTATATTTAGTTGTAGTGTGAAGCAGGTTTAAACAGAATAGTTTTTTTGTTGTACAGGGCGTGGCTCAATGCTTATGATGTCCTCACTTTGAATCTGAGAATTTGGGGCTCGCATCCGCGTTTTGGGGCCGTGAGTACACTATAAGAGTTATAGTGAAATCCCATTATTTGATCTGACAACAATAACCGAAGTGTTGACTAGCTGTCCTCCGTATAATCTAACACTTCAAAATTAGAGATGGCTAGCGAAGGCCTGGCATGGCCTGGTGGTTAAGGCGCTGGACTCGCAGTATGCGAGTCGCGGGTTCGTATCCCGTCAGTGAACATGCTCGCCCTTTCAGCCACGAGGGCGTTATAATATAACGGCCAACCCCACTTTGCGTTGCTAAAGAGGAGCCCAAGAATTGTGCTGGGATTGTGTTGACTAGCTGGCTTCCCTCTAGTGAAGCCCAAGAATTGTGCTGGGATTGTGTTGACTAGCTGGCTTCCCTCTAGTGAAGCCCGAGAATTGTGCTGGGATTGTGTTGACTAGCTAGCTGGCTTCCCTCTAGTTCAGTGGTTCCACTTCGGCAAGGAAAAATACCCCGTAGACTACCTACCGGTCCTACCCCACCCGCTTTCGCTTGCCAATGTAAAAAAAACAAAAAAACTCATCAATGACTTGCATTTTGGATCACCTGGAGGACCTTTGCAGAATACGCTTTGAGAACGACTTCTCTAATTTATCAGGTCTAAATTAGGGATAGCTAGCGCAGATAGTTCTCGAGTAACTTTGCGCGAAATTCAACAAAGTAACCTTCCGTCTATCTGTTCAAATTTGGCTCAGCGGTAAGTGTGAAGGCTTATACCGCTAAAAATCAGGTTTCGATACCCGTGGTGGGCACATCACAGTAGCTATGTGTTTAACAGAAAACAAACAAATCAAATTTAGGGATGGCTATGCGCAAATATTCCTTGTTTAA